TACATTATAAATCTTGCTTCTTGTTCTAATAGGAACTAATAGAGATTCAATATTGCTCAAGTTAAACATTGACTTGTATTTAATAGCACAGATGGATTTTAGAGATGTTTTCACTTGGCACAGTCTAAACTTTCAGAGAAAGCTTTTTTGTTTTATAGATCATATAATGAACAAGAAAACAGACTAAGGTTTTCTGAGACACATTTAAGACCTAGGAATCTTAAAAATATAAACCACAAAAACATTCTAACCAAACAAAAACTTTCTTCCCACTAACATTTTATAGTTCTATGTATTAGGCAAACATATTTGAAGTCTTGCTGCATGCTATTTTTTATATATTTCCTCAATCCTTACTATAAACTTAGGTGAAGAATATTGTTTTCTATATTAGAAAACTTAAGTCCATCAAAGTAAAAATTAGTAAGGGAAGAGGCTCCAATCTCTCTATATAAAAGGCTAAGTGACCATCGCATCTGAAACAACCGAACAGACTGTGTGGGGCAACCATGCCTGCATAGGGTGGCGGGGAGTTGGGGGCAACTAGGCTGTCGGGGGGGAAGTGAGAAGTGACCAGGATGGCAGAGGGGGTTAATGAGGGACAACCAGGCTGGCGGGGTGGAGGGGAAATTGGGGGCAACCATGACAGTAGAGGGGGAAATAAGGAGCGACCAGGTCAGTAAGGGGCAGTTAGAGGTGACCAGGCCAGTGGGGGGCAGTTGGGGGCGACTATGCTGGCAGAGGGGCAGTTGGGGTGACCAGGCCAGTGAGGGGGGCAGTTAGGGGCAATCAGGTGGGCAGGCAGCTGAGCAGTTAATTATGATTCCAGATTGTGAGTGGGATGTCCAATCCTGGGCCTAAACTGGCAGTTGGACATCCCCTGAGGGGTCCTGGATTGGAGAGGGTGAAGGCTGGGCTGAGGGGACCCCTCATGCAAGAATTTTGTGCACCGTGCCTCTAGTCTATAATAATAAAAGTATAATATGCTAATAAGACGAGGTCCTTCTGGATGTCCTTCCAGACAAAGCCTGGACTATGAGGGTAGCCTGTCCTGGGTACCTGAGGGAAGCCAGTGCCAGCAGCTGGGGAAGGAAGGTCTACTCTTGCACCAAGTTCATGTATCGGGCCTCTAGTATCATATAATTCTCTTCATGTTGAAGATTTTCTCAAGGCCTCAGTCTTACTTCACCCAGTGAAAGGACTCTACCCAATTCCACGTGACGATTCTTCATTATGATTGAACATTGTAATTCTGGAATCAAAGTGTGCCATATATTCAAACTAGATGATATCATTAGCTAAGAAACAGGATGTTCCAAGACATTTTGAAATAGTCTTGAAGTTGAGCAACTTTGAAAGCTGAAGCACAGGCAGGAAAGAAAAGCACACTGTTGGTGACTGCAATGAGGAATTTCACTTGGAAGCTATTTCTGTGTCTCTTGACAGCCAGATCCCCCTTTCCCTTAAACACAAATCCATTGCTCCTGCCTTCTCCAGGGAACACAGAATGAAAAGCCAGGCTATTTTGTTAGAGCAAATGAAAGGACAGAAGCTAGCATTGTCAGGGGTGATAGCAGCTCTGGGGAACATTTATCCCTCTTTCTGTCTGGCTGTCTCAGTCCCCTTCTCCAGGTGTTTCCTCTCTTTCTTATAGTCTCTCTGTGGAGAGGTGTCCTGCTTTTTCTGTCTTCTTTGTAGCCTGATTCATAATTGCTCCCTCCTGCTTGCATGTGATCTTGGCTTCATGGTTCCTTTGGACTTGGCTAGTTCAAGATTACATACATGTAATCAAACATTATATTACTCTAATTCCAAACCTATATTTCTTTCATGTGTTATGCTGACAGTGTATTCTTACATTTCAAGAGTCAATATATTTTAAATAAATTAAGATGAGGAAAATAGTCTTCTATATTTATCTAGATATTCACCTTTTCTGTTACCGCTTACTTCATTCTTGAAGTTACAAGTAAACTCTGGTGCCATTATCCTTCAGCCTAAAGAAATTCCTTTCACACATCTTTGGAGAGCAAATCTGCTGTGATAAATCCCATCTTCCTACTTGAGAAATGACTTTCTTTCACTTTCATCACTCAAAGGTGTTTTTACTAGAAGCAGACTTTTAGGTTGATAGGTCTTTTCTTTGGGCATCTTAAAGATGTCTTCTGGCTGCCACCTTTTCTCATGGGAAACTTTCAGTTCTTGGGACTGTTGGTCCATACATTTAATATTGGCATCCCCACCTCACCCACAGTTTGGCTGCTTTCAAGACTTTTTATTTGTCCATAGTTTTCAGTAATTCTCTGATGTGTCTGAGCTGAGTTTTTAAATTTATCCTCTTGGGAATTTGTTATGTTTCTTGAACTTGTGAATTTATTTTTTTACCAAATTTGGAAAGATTTAGGGATTCTATTTTTAAATATTCTTTTAGCATTGACATTTTTTGCGTCTGCTTTAGGGACTCCATGACACAAATATGAAATCATTTGATGTGGTCCCACAATTCCCTGAAACTGAAACTAGTCATTTTTGTTTTCAATCTTTTTTATTTCTATTGTTCAGATTGGATAATTTCTATTGCTCATTCTTCAAGTTCACCTGCTCTTTCCTCTTTCATCTCCATTCAGCCATTCAGCTTGCATAATTAATATTTAATTACATATATTGTATTTTTCAATTCTAAAAATTTTCAACGACTCTATCTGCTAAGAATTTCTACCTTTTTGTTCATTTTAATAATGTTCACTTTAGTTTATAGAAAGTGGTTCTAATAGCTATTTTAAAGTCTGCCCACTAATTCACATATCTGAAACTTTGGGTTGGCATCTGCTGATTGATTCTTCCTTTGAGGATTGGCCAGATATTCCTGATTGTTAGTATATAAAGTAATTTTGGTTGTATCTTGAACTTTTTGAAGATTACATTGTCAGACTAGGCATACTGTTAAAATTCTCTGGCAAATACTGATTTGTTGTTTGAATAGGCAATCAACCTGCATGGTCTGCTCATTTTTCTGATACTAGTTTCAATGTCAATTAAATTTTCAGTTATTTTTATGCTATATAGGTCAGGGGGACATGCACCCCTCAGGGCTAGCTCTGGTGCTTGAGTGACTTTATCACCCAAGAACTGTAATTCAGTTTTTAAACTTTTGTTATACCTTTTTGGGCATTTTCTACATATGGTTAACTTGGGGTGTGAGCTCATTACTTGAGTAGGTTCAAACACAGACAGAGAGTCTCTCATCTTAGTTCTCATATGTCTGTGGGATTTTCCCCACATCTTCTGGCTTCTAGAACTCCCTTGCCCAGTTTTTGTTTTTGTTTTTGTTTTTTTTTGACAAGAAAGTCTGGGCTTTTCAGAGTCTTGCTATCCTTTATTGTGGCACAGTTTCATATAGTTAACCACAATGCAAAGCAGGAGGGAAAAGAAAAAACACACACCACGGACCCCCCACTTTTTGCACAACAGATGTGGAATTCTTCTATTTGAAGGACAGAACACCATTTGGGATCATACATGTCCACGACTGCACTGGGGAAGCACTGCAGATTTATTGTAATTTTGAGGCAGGACTGAGAGAACACAAGGAGATAAGTAGACATGAGCATTTTTCCTATACTTTGGGTTGTAGGGGTCCTTCATTCTGCTTCTACAGAATGAAAACTTAACTAGGGTATTTTTTTTCTTCTTTCTGTTTTCACCTTTTACAAAGTTCCCAACTTAGCTCACCTTCAGGCCAAGCTCAGAAGGAGAAAGAAAGGAAAAATTCAGGCGAGTCTTTGCAGCGGAGTTCACCTCAGCTACAGATTCGAGTTCCTTCCTTAATCCACTTGCTATCGCTTGCTTTCTGGATCCTCAGCTAGGTCTTTGCCATGATTGTCCAGCTTCAGTGTGATCAGGGAAGAGGCAGAATGGGCTCCTCTCAGTAATGTTTTTACCCTTCACACTTGCCCTGGACCTGAATGCAAATCAACAGCATTGGTTTTTAGGTAAATTCCACTTGTTATTCCGGCCTTCAAGACTGAGTTATTAACACAAAAACCCCAGCTTCCCCCCTCCCCCACTTACCTGCACTACTCTTCAAATTTCCATCTTCCCATGCATTTTTCTCTATGATTCCAGTTGATTGATATATGTTTTTCTTTGTCAGGGGGCTTATTGAGAAAAAAACATTCTTTGCTTCATTACAACATTTTAATATTTGCATAAAAATTATAATTTTAATATGTTTCACAGAGTTTTCCCTTGTTACACCAAAAGGAATTAATTTTTGTGCCTTTGGGAAATGATACATTTGTTTAACAGATTGGTAATTATTTGTTAAAAATTGATCATTAGGATTCCTCTTTATTTGATTACTATGGACATATCACCAAAACCAGAATCTATTTTCTACCAACTGTATCCATTAATTCAACCTTGCTGGTCCTTAAATAAAAGATCACTATAACTTCTCATTTTGAACCTTTTTAAGAACAAAGTTGATAGAAAGAAAAAATCTTAGATAAATCTAATTTAAAATCTCAATCTGTTTACAAAAGTTTTCTTTTTGACTTTGCTTATTGTTTTTATTATAAAAATTATCTTAGCAAGAGTAACTAGCAGTGTTTATACATGTGAATTCCTTCCAGGTCTTTTGTACATTTGGTTTGAAGCACCTTGAGGTGACCCAATGGGTGCTCACTCCTTTAGAACTTTAGGTGTTCCACTTCTAAAGCAGAACATCCGGTCAGGAAACTGAGCTCCCTAAGTCTACTAAGCATGTGGGTGATGCACACCCTGAACAGGAGTTGGATGAAGGCTGACTTCACTGAGTCCAAAGTCGCCTGGTGAGGTTTCCACTTAATGAGAAGCCAGGACCCACAGCCCGGGTCCCACCTGGCAGAGCTGTGGCTGCAATTACAAAAATGAAGAGGCAAGAAACTCAGCGCGCCTCAATCTGTTGCGTTCACAGTCTAAGTGTGTTTTCTTTTCTCCCTTTCTTCTGGGGTCTTCAGTTTACCGTGGTTTCTGGGCTGTCCTCATGCTCCTGGGCATAGTTGCTGTCGTGACCGCAAGTTTCCTCATCATCTGTGCAGCCCCCTTCGCCAGCCACGTTCTCTACAAGGTCGGCGGGAGCTCCTATATCGCTGCAGGTATGTAAGTGCTACGGCATGCTTTCCAGCCCTGGGTCTGTATTATATATTTGCCATTTATAGTCTCAGGTAGCGGGCCTCCAGCAGTAGGAATACCATTATATTCATGTGTAATCTTTCTAAGTGCCACCTGTGCCTCAGACACTTTTCTAGGGACTTGCATTTTCCGTGTGCTAACACACCCAATCAGCACGACAGTCTTCGCTCATTGTGTCCACATTATATGAGAGAGGACATTCGCGGGAAGTCTGTGCTCTGAGAGCCTCTGAGCCTGTTTACCCTGTCAGTTTCCTGTCTCTGTAACCTCAGGACACAGACAAGGCCTCTGTGTGCTCTGCCAAGGGCAGCCGCATGCTGATGCTCTCGAGCCTGGTTGCCTGTAGGAGAAAAGCATCGCCTACAATGTCTGCATTCGGTTTTCTCAATGTGTGTGTTATCTAAACAGTCCTCATTGTAAAACCTACAGGTATTTCAGTCAGTTTTTCAACTAGTCTTTCTAATTCCTACCGAAATGATCATAGTACAAACAAAAAATAACTGAATAGGCAAGTCTTGTGAATTTTAAGGCCTTTTCATTTAATTAGGAAGTAAAAGCCAGAACACTAACTTGAAAAACATGAGCTCAAGGTTGTTTGTAAAGATGGCAGTTCTGGAAAATTAAACTAATGTCAGTGTGACTTAGGCTGAGCTTTATGTGACTACACTATACTGTCACATTAGACCAGAGGACAGAGTGTTTCTACAAGAGAAGGAAGTGGCAGCGAAGGGAAGGAGTGGGATGGAGAGCTTTGTCGTCTTTATTTATCATCATGGCTAAGACAGTGCAGGAACCTGGCCATGACTTAATCAACAGACAGTTATCAAATAGTTTCCTTAAGCATGCATTTTATATAACACTGTGCTTAATTCTGCAGAGCGGATACACTGAATGGTCAGATAAGGATCCTCTGCTCAGGGAGCTCAGAAAAAAACTCTGAGATCAAGAGCCTGCTTAACTATTTCATGTCAACAACGTTCTCCACTGGTCTTCAAGGGCCCAGATTTACCCATTTACACTAAGATGTAATTGATACAGTTCACACATTATAAAATTTACCATTTTAAAGTGCTTCCATACATTTACAGAGTAGTTCACATATAATGGAATCTGGTTCTGGGATATTTTTATTAGCCTACAAAGAAGCCTCATCCTCTCCTCTACTCCTCCAACCCCCAGGGACCACTACTCGACTTTCTGTCTCTATCTGTTTGCCTTTTCTGGACATTTCCTATAGGTGGAGTCACAATATGTGGTCTTTTGTATCTGGCATGCCGTTTCCCTGCTTTAATTCACAAGTCCTTAAGACCAAGCGCCTATGACGGCATCTTCTTTACCACATGTTTTTCTCTCCAAACACACTCCTCTCCATTTCAGTCTAAGGTCTAGTGAAGGTAGACCTGGTCTTCCTAAAAACAACAGCTCCCCGCTAAAATATGTGAACATTTGTTTCTTCTCATTTCTTGATTTTCTTTTTGAATCTTTGTCAATAAAGGTAATGTGTAATAGAAGTAGTTTAGTACTAACACAGAGGTGGCACAATTTATTTACTTATAATATTTTTTAAAATATATTTTTTATTGATTTCTGAAAGCAAGGAGAGGGAGAGAGAGAGATGGAAACATCAGTGATAAGAGAGAGAATCATTGATCAGCTGCCTCCTGCACACCCCCTGCTGGGGATTGAACCCACAACCTGGGCATGTATCTGACAGGAATTAAACTCAGGACCCTTCAGTCTGAGGCTGATGCTTTATCCACTAAGCCAAACCAACTAAGGCAGCACAATTGATTTAAACACAGAAATGGTCTGGTCTTGAATCTGGTCTTAGGGAATTGTATGTGTGTGTTTATGTTTAATGCTTTTGGGAAAAATTTAGCCATTTGATAAATGTGTGAAAAATTAGTATATCCAACTAGACTTTTCAGGGTGGTCACTTTGTAAGGTATCTAACTGTGGAATCACTATGTTGTACACCTGAAACTAATATAATATTCTGTACCAGCTAGACTTTAAAACAACTTAAAAAAAACCACTACAGTTTTCCAAGAACCCCGCAGAGGCATTTAATATGTATTTTCATTTTTAGTGAATCTTCCGTTGCATGAGGGTATGGGGCCGAGATCCCCCCTGCTCAGGTCTTCATGCAAACACTCTGGAGCCTAGAGGTGTTCTGGGAGCCCATTCTGCAAGCCACTGAACTACAATTATGAGGGCACTTCCTTTAAGAATTTAATTCCTTCCTGGCCCAATTCCTTGTTTATGCAGGACTGCTGGTTTCCCAAGAACAGAGGGAGGCACACTATTGGATGAGGTACAATATTACTGTTCATCTTAGCAGTTCAGACAGGAAAATGGTATATTCAGGAGTAACTAAAGTTTACTTTCTAGTTGCAATTTCCATCATGAAACACAAACTTTTAAAGCAGCTGTGGGCCAGTAAATCATCCTTAAACTTATGTCATTATTGATGGAAGAATTTTTTAAATATTCCAATTCCGTTATTACCATTCCCAGATAATGTGAAAAAAACTTATTTTTTTTCAAAGTTGAAGATGGAAATTTATATGCTATGTTATATAAAGATGAAGTATATGAAATGTGAAATAATCACTAGGATTGTTGCTCAGCCAACTTTTTTCTGTGATACATTATATATAAGGCAGATAGCCATTTACTGAGCTACAATGAATTTATAATCCTTTCCTTGGTCATATTTTATATTTTGAAAATGAAGTATTCCAGAATCTCTTTAGTTTCAGGCCTTGCTTTGTCATTCCCAGCCTTGGCGAGTCCCCAGGCTGCTGGTGTCACCGCTGTCCTCAGACAGGCGGGAGGAACAGGTGCAGCCTGGAATGGGCTTCTGTGGCTGCCTCGTCAGTGTCACAAACAGCATAGGACACGCTCTTTATTTGGACAGATGGCCTCAGGACACGGCAGAACCAGCTTGCAGATGGACTGCTGGGCGTGTGCACACAGGACGGCTCTTTGGCAGCAGCAAGAAGGTTGTGGGGGGCATTGCACTGTGGCTGGACATGCTGCTGCAGCAGCTGGTGTGAGGGGTGGGCCCACGGGCTTTCTCTCGCTCTGCAAACAGGCTCAGAGCAAGGCCTCGGGGGCATGGGCTGCCACTCCCTATGCTGGGCAGAGGCCCCTCGGGCAGGCAGGCAGCCTGTGTCCCAGGGAGTTCAGTCTGACTGTGTGCATGGGGTTGTCAGGGCATTCTCTAAGCCAAGCCTCTATTTCTGTCACTCTCACCCCTCTCATCCTCCCCTCCCACCACAATGCTTAAACAATTGATGATTTTTTTTTTTTCATTTTAAAGTTTTTTAAAATTCCCTGATACACCATCTATATATTGTGTGTTCACCACCCCAAGTCAAGTCTCCTTCCATCTGGATTTGTCCCCTTTACCCTGATATGGGCTTCCATGTGGACTTCCGGAGAACTCCTACCTACAGAGGGGATCTTGTCTTCTCCTGACCCTGCTATCCTGGAGGCGATAGGAAAGATGCAGAAAGTGGAGAATGGCAGATCCCCAGCCGCGCTACGGGCTGGGCCACACCCTGCATTACAGAGGTTAGTTTGAGGAGAGTATTTGTAGACCACAGAGCTGAGTATTTGTAATGCCCATGCAGAAACATCTGTGCAGGAACAGGTTCATCAGTAAGACTTCTGAGTGAACAAGCCGGGATGACCACACGGTCTGGAAGCGTGGGGCGCTGGCATGGATGTAAGCCAGGGCATGTTATTGACCGGCGTCATATATCAGGGTGCACCTGCAATCCACCCAGAAATCACCTCTTCCCGAATACGCGCTGGGGTCAGTTCTGCTGAAGGAGGAGCCGCCTCCTCATCCCTGTTGGGCCTTCAGGCTGGCGCGGCTGCGCAGGCATCTTGTGAGGCGGGGGTACAGCACCCCTATTCCGGGCCCAGGATGCTCTGGGGGAGGAACGGCCTCTGTGGGCCTCATCGGACCCCTGAAGGGGGTGGAGCGAAGGCGGGCCTGGCCGCTGCCCGCCTGCTCTTCCTCCCAGACAGCTGCTCGGGGTCGCTGGTCAGGGCAGCTGGAGTGAGGGGGGACCCGGTGGGAGGCGCAGAGCTCTGCCTGGGACAGGAGCGCACCCCCACCCCCGGGGCCCTCTGCCCCGCAAGGACATGCTCCCTGAGGGAGGGTGAACCTTGGAAAGGGGTGGCTCTGAAGGGAATGCGCACGCTCCTTTCTGCAGGTGGGACTGCCCCAGAAGAAATCCAATTGGCGGTTTGTACTCCTTTCTTTTTCAAAGACCCGGGGCTGGTAGCGGCTCCCCATAGGAGCACACACCTTGCGTGGGGCAAGATAGCGGCGATGGGTGCATACCCGCCCCCGCCCCAGAGAAGGGCCCTCAGAAGCCCAGGGCCCTGCATCCCGGTTCCCTCTCCTGTGGCCCAGACAGCGCGGCTCCCGTCCTCCTCCAGGTCCGGCGCCTGCTCTGGGGACACTGGCCCTGGGGACCCCTGGGCAGGAAGGGCGGGGACAGACCTCCGTCCTGAGGGCGCCTCCGCGCACCTGGCACCCGCCCTCTGCCTTCTCTCTCGGTGCGGTGGCCACACCGGCTCCCTGCCGCAGCCCAGGGCAGGAGCGAGGACCACAGGCCCGAGGCCAGGGCCCTGGCAGGATGTGAGCGGGAAGGAGTTTTCCTGAGAAATCCTGTGCATGGCTTCCCACCAGCACAGAATACCCGCCAGCGCCTGGCTCCCGGAGGGCGGCGGGGGGCAGAGGCGATGAATCTGCCCATGGCGCCTATGGGTCAGCAGATGCGCTGCTCCTGGGGACTCTCCCACGGCGGGGCCTGTTGGGGGAGGGGCGGGGGTCATGCTGCTGGGTCACAGCCCAGGTACCCCCCCTCCATAGGCCGCCCCCCGACCCCCCCACAGGAATCAAAGAATCGAACCTGGGACCGTTAAGTCCGTGGGCCAATGC